AAGTTATGATTTGGGGTGATGTTGTTTGGTTATGGTTGTTTAATTTTTTTTTTTTGGGTGATGTTGTTTGAAGCAGTTTGATAATTTTCGTTTTTAGTTTCTATTAAATTCGCTATTTGTCGTTTGTGTTTCTGTGTTCTATCTCATCCATGCTTGTATGTTTTTCTTCTTCTATATTTACTCTCTTCTTCGATATTCACATTGATTAATGTTCTTCGACTATGTGAATTTGATCATCTTGCTCATGAGCATGAATTTCTCTAAATCATTTTGGTTCTTTTTCTTTTGTGATCAATGATTTGTTTGATTCTGTTTTTATGTTTTCTAGATTTTGTAGTTTAAATCGGTTCAACAAGGTATGACTTCTTCATCGATCTGTTTTTATATTTTTTATGTTCTGGTTTTGTCTACGTTTTTTTTATAATCTAAATCTTGGATAAATATTTTCCACATGTATATTAACGTAAAATTTATGCCTTTGATATTGATACGCACAATATCCAAAAACCCTAATGTCTTATGTATTTTTTTTTTAGAAAGAATGTCTTATGTATTTAGTTTCTTATATATAGCAAAACCTACCTCCACGCTTTCAAACCTAAAATTCTAATTTTTAATTTGCTCATTTTTCTTATATTATGTAGAATATGAATTCGTCTAAATATGATTCTCTTCCGATGAAGGTTGTACAAACGTGGAAGCAAAACTTCATCTTGACTGGTAAGTTTTTGTTGGTAGTATTATAAACTTAGTGTCTCTCTTATTTTCGATATATGATTTTAGTTGTTTGTTCTCTTCTATAGATCTATAACATCTCATGTGCACTGGTAATCATATTCTACAATCTCATGTTGCGGTTAGTAATTTGAATTTTCCATTCTTTCAATGTCGAATCACTTAAGTCGCAAAATAAAATGTTTCTCATTGCCATATAGTTTTTTTCTTCCAACAAGGCACTACGTTGAGAATCAGAGCGGAGATGGCACATGCTTTGGCTTAGTTAGAGTGGTGTGAGATTTGTGTTTCTGGCTCAAAGTTGAACTTCACCATTTTTAAGGCCCAGCCTCATGTGACCGTAACGTGGATTTTAGATTGAGCTTCGCATCTTAGATACTAGACTTGAGTATTCCAACATGGGTGTTCAAGAATTTTTTCTAACCGCAAATTGATTTGTCAAAGTTTCAAATCAAATGCACAAAGTGGATTAAGGGATAACTTATAATTTTTTGGTTTAATTGCTACTTTAGGTTGACAAAAAAAAATTGCTACTTTAGATAATATATCGGATTTGAATCCATATAAATCTAATCGGTGAGTTGTTTTCTATTCGTTAACTTTCAATGATCAAAGTCGAGCTCCCCCATG